CAAATGGGGGTAATAAAGATATATTATCAAGGATTCTGGAGTTTTCCTTCGGAATTTAACATTTTAATTAAATTCTTTAATTTCAATAATTAAAAAAATTAATATAGTACGCTATTTGACTTCAGGGTACTTCTCTGGGTAAAGACAACAAAAACTAGAGGTAGAATTAATAAATAAATGATGAGCTCACAAGAGAATGTCTAATAGTGTCATGGGATACCTCAGTTGGCCCCAGATTCTGTATCCATGGATACAGAAGGCCTATCAGAGGGCTGACTGCAAGGGACTTGAGTGTCCGCAGGTTTCGGTATCTTCAAGGGGTCCTAGATCTAATACCCTGCAGATACTCAGGGATGACTATACAGATTTAATGGTCTCCCATAGTTCAATAAATCTATTTTCTGCTTAAGATAGCCAAAATTGGTTATAGTGTTTTTTTAAACTTTGTTTGTTTATTTATTTATTTTAATTTGACCAGAGAGGGACACAGAGAGAGACAGAGAGAGGAAACAGGCACCAGGTCCAGGACTCAAACCGCAGTCAGCCAGGTGGGAGTCCAGCACCCTCAACTACCATGCTACCTGCTGGCCTTGTTATAGTTGTTTTAAGAACTGGATGAGTATGGTGTCTAATGTTTCTCTTTAAACATAATGTTAGCAGTCATTAAGTTCAATTCATCTATAGGGGTTATTTTTAAGAATTATTTTATTTAACTTTATTTATTTATTTATTTTTATTTGACCAGACAGGGACAGAGAGAGAGAAAGAGAGGGAAAGTGAGAAAGCAAGCCACCAGGTCTGGGACTCAAACCATGATTGGCCATTTAGGAATCCAGCACCCTTAACCACCATGCCACCTGCCTGCCCCTCTATAGGTATTTTTATATACCCATGTTTTCCCATGCAGGTTTTCCCATACCTGTCATTCTATACCTTAATTTATTTACCTAACAATGTATCTTGGAGATTATTTCACATTATAACATGGGATCTAGCCAAAGTAGTCCTGAGCAAGAAAAATAGTGCTGAAGACATCACAATATCAGATTGCAAAATATACTACAAAGCTACAGTAACTGTTAAAATAGCCTGGTACTGGCCAAAAGAAAAAGAAAGAAAAGAAAAGAAAGACAGACAGACAGACAGACATAGACCAATGTAAAAGAAGATCCACAAATAAACCCATTTCTCTACAGCCAGCTAATGTTTTTTCTTTTAAGTTTTTTGTTATAGACTGTGCACTTGACAGAGAAAGAGAGTGAGAAAGGGAAAGTGGGAAATAACCCCCAGTGGGGATGGTTACATTGCAATCCATTCTCTTCCATTCTCCTCAGAATTAGGGGCATACCATGCACACATGTGAAGTATATTCTCAAGCTGCTGGGTCCAGGACTTGAACCATGCAGTCAACCAAGTGGAATCCAGCAACCCTAACTTACCTCCATGCCACTTGCTGGCCCAATAGCCAGCTAATTTTTGACAAGGTACCAAAATACCCACTGGGGAAAAGACAAATCTCTTCAATAAATGGTGCTTTGGGAAAACTGGACATCCAGAATGAGTTTGAACCTTTATGTCTCACCACATACCAAAATTAACTCAAACTGGATTAAAAACTTAAATATAAAACCTGAAACTATGAAATTACTAGGAGAAAACATAGGAGAAACAATTCAGGAACTTGATTTAGAGAGAATATTTGAATAAAACCTCAAAAACAAAGATAGACAAAATGGATATCAAGAAAAGCTTCAGCCCATCCCCCCGGGAGTGATTTCTCCTGTTCTGTCTCTGTCTCGTCTCTCCCTGTCTTTCTGGCGAGCATATGTACTCTCTAGCAAAAGCCTTTCAAAAGAAAAAGAAAAAAAAAAGAACTGCTATTTGGGAATCAGCAGATGGTGTAATGGTTACATCAATGGACTCCCACATAGTTGACAGCAGTTTGAGTCCCAGACCCAGCAGTTTAAAACTCATGCCTGGCGCGTATACGTGCATGCCCAAAATCCCGAGAGGAGAATGGAGAAGGGATTACAGTGTGGCCATCCCCCTGAAAGGTGATTTCTTGCTTTCTTTCTCACTCTGTCTCTCTGGTAAGTGCATATGCCTCATAGCAAAAATCTCCAAAAACAAAAAGACCTGCTATGTGATCTAGCAATCCCATTACTAGGCATACATCCAAAGGAAAAGAAATCAGTATGCCTTCAGGATATCTACACTGCAATGCTTATGTCGGTATTGTTCACATTAGTCAAGGTATGGAGTCAACCTAAGTGTCCATAAAATGGGTGTGTGTTGGGACCAGCAGATGGAGTAATGGTTATGTTGCTGGATTCCCATGACAGACCATGGTTCGAGTCCCAGACTCAGCAGCTTGAAACTCCTGCTAGGTATATGTACACAAATGCCCAAAATCCCGAGGGGAGAATGAAGGGATGTGACATGGCATCCCTACTTGGGGGTGATTTTTTACTTTCTGTCTCACTGGTGAGCACACACTCCCTACAACAAAAAACTTTCTTAAAAAAATGTGTGTGGGGGCCATCGGGTGGCATGGTGGTTTAGGGCGAGCATACGTACTCTCTAGCAAAAGCCTTTCAAAAAAAAAAGAAAAGAAAAAGAAAAAAAAAACAAATTCAAAGGTTCAGAGAAAAATATGGTTTATTAGAAAGCTTTTTAATGAGGCCAGCAAAGCTCTCTTGCTCTCTTGCACTCTCGCTCTCTCTCGCTATGTCCCTCTCTGGTCAAATTAAAATAAAATAAAATAAAATAAATAAATAAAAAATGTGTGTGTAGGGGTCAGGAGGTGGCATGGTAGTTAAGAAGTTGGGCTCCTCATGGCTGACTGCAATTCAAGTCCTGGACTAGGTGGCTTGAAAACCATACCTGATTCATATGCGTGAATGCCTACAACACCAAAAGGAGAATGTCCCAGTTCCGGCAGATTAAAACTCACACCGGATGCGTGTGTGTGCATGCCAAAATCCTGAGAGGAGAATGGAAGAGAAGGGATTGTGGTGTGGCCATCCCCCCTGGAGGGTGATTTCTCGCTTTCTGTCTCTCTGTTTCTCCAGCAAGCGTGCATACCCTATAGCAAAAATCTCTCCAAAAAAACATAATAAATAAAATATAGTTAATAACAATCTATTATATATCTCAGAGTAACTAAAAAAGAGAATTTTGAATGTTCCCAATGAAAAGTAATGACAAATGGCTGAGATGATGGAGATACTATTTATTCTGAATTAATCATAATACACTGTAATCTTGTGCTGAAAAAAAATGTGCCGCACAGGGCCAACAGGTGGCATGGCTGTCAAGGGTGCGGGACTCCCACATAGTTGATCGTGGTTCGAGTCCCGGACCTGGCAGCTTGCTCTCTCTCTCTCTCTCTCTCTCTCTGCCCCTCTCTGGTTAAATGAAAAAAATAAATAAATAAAATTAAATAATTCTTGAAAAAAAATACCCCACAAGTATGTATAGTAAGTATATTACAAACATGTACAATTATTAAAATGAAAAAAACACCATAGGATCTACATGCATTATCTATAACAGGTATATAATATTACATTGTATGGGTGTGTAATTTATTTGACTGATATTTAGCGCGTTTCAAGTCTTTTACTATAATAAACAATGCTTCAAGAATATCCTTGTACCTGTCTCTCTATGCTTATGTGAACTTCTGTTAGTAAGACACATCAAACTTTTTTCCAAGGAAATGATTGGCCAGTGTATAGTCCTGCCAATGTCTATCTGCTTCCCCTACTGGCTCCAACATAGGTAACTTATTAAATGGGGCTATTTTCTGGATGATTTGTAAAAACTCTTTGTCAGAATTCTTTACATCTGTCTAGCATACATATCGAGGATATTTTTACTCTTTCCATTTTTATGTATTCAAATGAAAAAAGCTACCAAAAAGCTGTGTATTCAATACACTTTTATAGCTTCTAGGTTTTATGCCTTTAGTACTAAAAAAAGTTTTCTCCATTCTGACACTGTATTATAAAATCATCCTCTACTTTTCCTTTATGCATTTGGGTAGCTTGATGTTCAAGTATTCAATTCCTCTAGAACTTATTTCGAAGGAATGACTAAGAAAAGACATCAGCACGCTTTTCCCTCACAGTTAACCTGTGGTCTTAACACCAGTTAGTGAGCTTTTGCTCCCACGATCTGAAATGCAAGCATGTTCCCATACCAAGTTCCATGATTTATTTCTGGACTTTTCCTACTGTTGTGTTGACTAGTCTATTAAAAATTAAAACAGTATCCAAATTATTTTAATAGATTTACCTTTATATTTTAATATTTAATTTGTGGTATAACTAATTTTTATTACATACTAGGGTAATAATATTTTTGTATAGAAAAGATTTCTCAAATTATGATGAAAATCAAAGAGAAACTATTTTCCCCACTTACAAGTTTTTGTGAACATGTAACTTGATGAAAAAGATAAGACACACTTATTGCACACCTACTATGTCCAAAAACACGTGTGAAGAATAGGGGTGGAAGATACAATGTTGAGTAAATTAAGGTTCATCAAGGAGTTTCAATCCAGTCAGGCTGTTGGGCACTTACATAACCAATTTCATTTTCTGTCTCTAGCTTTATCTTACAGATGCTATTCTTTTCCTTTCTTTTCTTTTTTTGGGTATAGAGCACATGTGATCACGGGAGAGGAGAGAGACAGAGAGATACAGTGAGAGGGAAGTTGAGAAATCACCCCCAAGGGGGGATGGCCACACCACAATTCTTTCTCCTCGATTTTCCTCCTGGGATTTGGTACACACGCACATACATGCACCCAGTGGGAGTTTCAGGCCCCTGGGTCCAGGACTCGAACCACAGTCAGTCGTATGGGAATCTAGTGCCTTCACCACCACACCACCTGCTGGTGCCCACATCTGCTATTCTTAGATAATCAATTCCCATGCTCTCTCTCTCATACACACTGACATGCACATACCATGCTGCAAACTAATACACACCTGTTAGATTTCTTCAACAGCCAGAGTAACTGTGAACAAGACTGCCGGACTAATGCTGCTCTGACAGGGAATGTCACGGGTTGACTTAATTCACTACATACAGAGTCCATCTGCTTCACCATTGTCCAGCTGTATCCTGAAATGAAAAGAATGAAACGAAAAGAATACTTACTGGAATCCTAAAAGTCAATTAAATAAAAAATGAAATTACCAAATCACTGTAGGCCATGTAGGACTCCAGTACCCTAACCACCCCACCACGGACCAGCCTCAAGAATTTTTTTTTTACAGAGATTTTTGCTATAGGGCATGTGTGCTCACCAGAGAGACAGAGAGACAGAGGGACAGAAAGTGAGAAATCACCTCTGGGGCAATGACCATGCTGCAATCCCTTCTCCCCCGTTCTCCTCTCAGGATTTTGGGCACACATGTACATGAACCCAGCGTGAATTTTATGCCACAGGGTCCAGGACTCAAAACGCAGTCGACTATGTGGTAGTCCAGTGACGTAACCATTACGCCATCTGCTGGTCCCAACATGCTATATTCTTTAATGAAATTAATAAATGTTTGAATGATCAGAAAACTAACTGGAGTTATGTTAAAATACATTTTTTGGACCAGCAGGTGGTGTGGTGGTGGTTAAGAGCACTGAACTCTCACATGGCCGACTACCGTTCGAGTCCTGGATCAAGTGGCTTGCTTTCACACTTTCTTTCTCTTTCTCTCTCTCTCTCTGGTCAAACTGGAAAATAGATTTTCAAAAAAGGTAAATAAAATAGTTCTTTAAAAAAAAAGAAAGAAAAACACATTTTTTCCCTCTTGATAAATATCACTTATTGTTCTAGGGGGCCATACACTGAAATGTCACTACTCACTAGATAGTAGTTACTCCAACCTCATGTTGGACATTAAAATTTTACATCTAAAAATGTTAACAGCAAATGAGTGAAAAATGAATATCCTGAACACAGGATGACAAAGGCTATCTATCATCTCTATAGGCTCTAAATAACTTATCCGCTTTTCAGGGCCAGCAGGTGGCATGGTGGTTAAGGTGCTGGACTCCTACGTGACCACTCGCAGTTCAAGTCCAGGACCCAGCGGCTTGAAACTCATGCTGGGCGCGTGTATATGTATGTGTTCAAAATTCCAAGAGGAGAATGGAAGAGAAGGGATTGCAGTGTGACCATCCCCCCAGGAGGTGATTTCTTGATTTCTGTCCTCTCTCTCTCTCTCTCTCTCTCTCTCTCTCTCTCCAGTGAGGGCACACGCTCTATAGCAAAAATTTCTCAAACAAACAAACAAATGAAAAGACTTATCAGCTTTTCATGTTTACCATGTGAGCAGATGTCCCACAGCATTTGACTGTCTACTGGCTGTTGACCTGGAAATCACTACCTAGAGATGTGTGAAGAAACAGCAAGGTGAATCCAATGCTGTAACTAGGTTCCGACCAGGAAGCAGAAGCTGAATGCCAGGTCTACCTGAAAGAAGATCTGAACAGAAAAAAGAGATCCGGCCCAGAAGAGGGTCTCATGACCTCCCATCCCCACCCACCCCAGAGGGTATCACGAGGACCCAGGGGCCCAGAGCCGGCATCTGGAGCCCATGCCAGGTCCAGGGAACTGTGTATTCAAGCACACTCCTACCTGCAGCCTCCATCATGGAAAGCTGTTATTACCTCATCTTTATCTGTTACGCTTTATCCTTCTAACACCCAGTTCATTCCCACTCCCCACCCCCCACCCCGGGGGATGGCCACGCTGCAATCCCTTCTCTTTTTTTCTCCTTTTTTCCTACACAAGGAACAAACTTCCTTGTGTTTTACAAATTCAGAGAGACCAATTCGTGGTTTGTTCAGAATATGTAGAGATGCAGCTTTGGCTCCTCTAGACCTAGACCATACAAATATATATTTCTCAACAGGAGCTGAGTGACAGACACCAGTGAACGCAGCGTCTACCTGAAACAACAGAAAGAAGGGTCGTCCGCACACCTGGAGGGTCAGGTCTTTCTTCAAATTAGGCTCTTAGGTTGTCTGGAATTGGGAGGGGGGGCTTTGTATTAAAGATGTTATTTTTATAATTAGGGGATATTTTCATTTGACCAATGAGAAATACGTGACTAGAATTATCACCTTCATTGACTTTCTCAGGATGCCATCCTGTTGTCCAACCCAGGGAAAATGTCACGTCGGGAAAGAAGGCCGTCACAGTGTCTATAAACGGCTTTGCATCTACTACTCTGTTACTTCCGTTTGGACCAGGAAGAATATCAGCATTAATCCATACAGGACGCTTCAGATGCCTCTTCACGTTCTCCAAAAGCCTCATGGATGGTTCTACAGCTGCCAGACTAAAAACAGTTTGTCGTCAATGAGACTCATTCCGAAAGTAAAGCGAAAAGAAGTTCTTCAGGCTAGTGGTCTGATGATTTCAAGTTCATAATAAAAATATAATACAATAATTCCTGAATCAAAGAGAGTAAAAACCACATAGCACGAGGGGAAAGCTAACATATGCCATATTACAAAATGTTATTATGTTATTAATCACAAAGTCTCTAAAAGTTCTGTAAATATATGAACAGTGCCTCTACTTGTGTACAAAATAGAGGTCTCAAAATTCCGTATTAGGATCACTCAATATTAAAATAATTTATGGGACCAGCAGTTAGAGTAATGGCTATGTCGCTGGACTCCCATGTAGTCGACCGCAGTTCGCGTCCCGGACCTGGTGGTTTAAACCTCACACAGGGCATGTGTGCGTGTGTGCCCAAGATCCTGAGAGAACGGAGGAGAAGAGATTGCCGCGTGGCCATCCCCTCTGGGGAGTGATTTCTCGCTTTCTGTCTCTCTCTCTCTGTCTGTTTGGCGAGTGCACATGCCCTATAGCAAAAACCTCTCAGCTCCCCTATAGAAAAAAAAAAAAAAAAAAAAAACCTCTCCAAAAAAAAATTTTTAGTACAGGATAAAATATTCACTCATTAGAGAATGTATAAATATTAATAAAATAACAAATTAAATATACTTATAACCTGCAAGTATAAGGAGATATTTCTGATGCCAGCACACAACAATGAAGGACATTACTCTAAGGTGAATTTGGACAAAAAAACACATTTATTTATTATTATTATTATTTTTTTAGAGAGATATTATTGCTATAAGGCTTGCTGGAGAGATAGAGAGGCAAAAATACAGAAAGTAAGAAATCACCCCCACAGGGGCATGGCCATGCCTCAATCCCTTCTCCTCCATTCTCCTCTTGGGAAACTGGGCAGGCACACACATGTGCATGATATGAGTTTTAAGCTGCCAGGTCAGGGATTTGAGCTGCAGTCAAATACGTGGGAGTCCAGTGATGTAACCCATCATCACCTGCAGGTCCCTATTATTATTGTCTTTTTTTTTTTTTTCCCCAGAGGGAACACGTGTTCACCTGAGAAAGAGAGAGAGAAAGTGAGAAAGCGCTCTCCATGGGGGATGGTCATGTCGCAACCCTTCTCAGTCACTCCCCTCCTTTTGAGATTTTGGGCACACATGCACACACATCCAGTGTGGTAGATTGGGTCCAGGACACCAATCATGTAGTCGGTCATATGGGATCCAGCCAACTTAACCACCATACTACTGGCTGACCCCAAAAATACATTTCCAAACATTAAAGTATAAAACTATAACATCTCCTCAAAGCTTTTATAAATTTCTTTCTTTCCTTTTCTTTTCTTTTTTTGACTATTAGTACTTGTTCTGAAAAGCAGAGACAAGTATAATCTATTTTTTTATTTTTAATTATTATTTATTTATTATCTCCTTCCTTCTCTCCTTTCCTTCATCCCCCTCTCCCTCCTCCCTCCTTCTTCCCTCCTCCTTCTTCTCTCTCTCTCTCTCTCTCTCTCTCTTTTCTTTTCTTTTCACCAGAGAGGAACAGAGTGAGAACAAGAGAGAAAGTGAGAAAGTAAGCCACCAGGTCTGGGACCTGAAATGTGGTCAGTCATGTGGGAGTCCAGCGTCCTTAACCACCATACCACTTGCCTGTCTCAGTATAATCTAGGTTAAATTAAAAAGTAGCTTCGCTACTTTTACTTTCCTATGTCTGTTCTACCCGATACCTAAAGACTTTAAAGTAATAGTTCTTTTCTTTTTTAAAAAAAGTAATATTTCTAATTAGCCTACATAATTTTTACTTTTTAAAAATACACAAACTGGGGCCAGCAGGTGGTGTAGTGGTTCAGGTGCTGGAGTTGCACATGGCCGACTGTGGTTTGAGTCCTGGACCCAGTGGCCTGAATATCACTCTGGGTATGTGTGCCTGTGTCCAAGATCCCAAGAAGAGAATGGAGAACAATGGATTGTGGAGTGGCCATACCCTTGGGGGATGATTTCTTACTTTGCCTCTCTCTGTCTCTGTTTCTTTCCAGCGAGCACACATGCCCTATGTCAAAAACCTTTAAAATTTTTTTTTTAAAAAAAGCATGCACAAACTTTACTGGGAAACTGTCCTACCTATAACTGACTACCTTCTGAACCTTTACGACCTATGTTCATTTCTTTCTTTTTTTTTTTCCTCAACAACTCTCCTCATATTTCCATCTCTATTTTTATTTTTTATTTTGTAGAGGCTTTTGGCTGGTACCTGTGCTCGCTGGAGCACATGAGAGAGGGAGAGACAGTGAGGGGGAAAGTGAGAAATCACTCCCCAGAGAGGATGGCCATACCACAATCCTTTTTCACCATTCTTCTCCTGGGACCTTGGACATGCATGCACAAGTGACCAGTATGATTTTCAAGCCACAGGGTCCAGGACTTGAACTGTGGTCAGCCATGTGGGAGTCCAGCGTCATACAACTATGCCATCTGTTGGTTGCTCCATCTCTAGCCCTTTTTTTTTTTTTAAGACTTATTTTATTTTATTCTTATTCATTTTAACCACCTTTTAATTTGACCAGATAGAGACAGAGAGAGAAAGTGAGAAAGGCCAGGTCGGGGACTCAAACCATGGTCAGCCATGTGGGAGTCCAGTGCTTTAACCAGCAAACCACCTGCTGGCCCCCCATCACTATTCTTTTTATTTATTTCTTTTTTTAGAGAGAGAGAGAGATTTTTTGTTATAGGGTTCATGTGCTCACCAGAGAAAAAGAGAGAGACAGAGACAGAAGGTGAGAAATCACCCCCTTGGAGGATGGCCATGCCACAATCCCTTCTCCTTCACTCTCCTCTCGGATCTTGAGCATGCACATAGTGTGAGTTTCAAGCCTCCCAGTCTGAGACTCAAACCACAGTCAGCCATGTGTGAGTCCAGTGACATAACCATTACACCATGTGCTGGTCCCTCCCATCTCTATTCTTAAGCAACTAGAGCACTTTTACGCTTCCATCCATCTTCTCTCCACTCCTTTTGGGTCTCCCTCCAATAAGAGAAGAAATTAATAATCATATTATTTACTATGTTCATTAGGGAGCCAGGATACTGCGTACTAAAACCAGAGGAACCCAGGCTCTGGCCTTTAGCCTTTAGCCCCTTTGTCCTGCTTCCATGTGGTAAGCTTCTTTCTTGTCTCTGTTCTGTAGAGACATAAAATGGAGGCCCTCGAGTTTAGTGAGTCGGGAAGCCCTGATGCTGGACCATGCAGATCTGGATGCTGACCCTTCCAGTTTAAATGCTGCCTGCTTTGCCTTGTATCAGTGCCATATTAAAACCTCAGTTCTTAGATCTGCCATGGTATTTCCTATAAGATCGCGTTATTGGTGGGAAACAACTTGTACCTGTGATTCCAAAGCTTGCTTGTCTTTAAGTCCCACATCAGCTGCCCAGTCCCTGCGGGCTTTGCTTTTCATGGTGGAGCAGGAAAAATCCTGAACTGATTCACACGTCTGCCATCAACCTCTTCTCTTTTTCCAGAAAGGATTCTGATTTCTTAAGAGATCAGGTGTCTGAGGAGCTTGGTTAAAACACTAATTTTTATTTTATACTTTCAAAGAGAGTTTATTAGGCTTTCTCATTTTAGTAAACTGACACAGGCCAGTTTAATATTGGTTCTCCACCTGATCACATCCAGTCTTACAGTTTACTCTCTCCCAAACTGAAATTCCACCAGTATTATTAAGTCTCCTATATGCAAAGGTATTGCACAGTTAAACATAAACAGAACACAATGAAGCAAGAATTTAATACACGTATTTCCTTTTATATGTAAATATTTAATCATCACTAACTTAGACTAATAATACTTTCCCTTCCCAAACACTTAAATAAAAAAACCAAAAAAATCATAACCTATACTAAGAAAAATATAAAGCCATATTAAAGAACCTAACACTTTTCGTTATTGTAGCTCTCATTTTCTGGAACTTGAAAAAGTTAATTTTTGGGGAACCAGCAGTTAGCGTAATGGCTATGTCACTGGACTCCCACGTGGTCGACCGCGGTTCACGTGCTAGACCCGGTGGCTTGGAACTCACACCGGGCGCGTGTGCGTGCGTGCCCAGGATCCCGAGAGGAGAATGGAGGAGAGGGGATTGCGGCGTGACCATCCCCCCTGGGGGGTGATTTCTCGCTTTCTGTCTCTATGTCTCTCTCTGTCTATCTGGCGAGCACACACGCCCTATAGTGAAAACCTCTCCAGAAAAAAAAAAAAGTTAATTTTTTTTTAAAAAGAAATATGGGGCCAGCAGGTGGCATGGTGGTTAAGGGTGCCGGACTCCCACATGGCTGACCCTGGTTCAAGTCCCAGACCTGGCAGCTTACTTTCTCATACTCTCTCTCACTCTGTTACTCTCTCTCTCTCTCTCTCTCTTGCTCTGTCCCTCTCTGGTCAAATTAAGATAAGTAAATAAAGTTAAATAAGATAATTCTTTTAAAAAAAATAATGAAATACTGGGACCAGGAGATGGCATAATGATTACTTTGCTCAACTCCCATATAGTCAACCCCAGTTTGAGTGCTGGACCTGGTGGCTTAAAACTCACACCAGATATGTGAGTGTGCATGCCCAAAATCCTAAGAAGAGAGTGGAGAAGGAATTGTGGCATGGCCATTCCCCTGAGGGGGTGAGTTTTTGCTTTTTGTCTCTCTGTCTCTCCAGTGAGTGCATGTGCCCATAGCAAAAAATCTCTTTCTAAAAAAACATAATAATAATTATTGAATTTAATTTATTATTATTTATTTTAAAATTTTACTACAGGGCACATGCACTCACAAAGCAAGACAAAAAGAGGAAGAGAGAGAAAGAGAGAGGGAGAACATGGGAAAGTAAGCCACCAGGTCCAGGACTTGAACTATGGTCAACCATGTGGAAGTCAGGCACCTTAACCACCGTATCTCTTGCTGACCTCACTGACAAAGTAATTCTAAAATTTTTTTTGGAAAAGCAAATGTAGAAGAAAACATAACATTTTAGAGAAAGAAGATCTAATACAAAGTTTTCAGTTACTAAAATATATTGTATACTGCAAAGAATAACAAACCACACTTCCTAGCCTGGAACATTCAATATTGTACATACTGCAAAATGACAAACCTTTCCAAATTTATCTATAAATTCCATGTGATTCTTATTCAAAATATCAACGGTCAATGTTCTCAATTCTTACATGTATCACTATGAAGTTTCCCATAAAAACTGCCAGTTTGCCAAAATGATTATTTGAAGAGTACTGATCATCAAACTACCTAAAGTTACTCTTTGGTAGTATTTATTTAAACCTCTAGGGAAGAATACAAACTTACCTATTACAGAATAGATTTGTAATATTTTTAAATATTTAATCTCCTTTTTTTTGAGAAAGATATTTTTCTACAGGGCATGTGCCCTCACCTGAGAGAGACAGACAGACAGAAGGCAAGAAATCACCCCTTGGGGGAATGGTCACGCCACATTTTCCTCCATTTTCCCCTTGGGATTTTGAGTGCAGTTTTAAGCCATGAGGTCTGGGATACACATTGTGGTCAACCACGCAACATAATCATTACACCATCTGCTGGTCCCAGAATTCTTACTCCTAAAAATTTACTTGTAAATCAAATAACTGAGGTTTCTTATTCTACTTTCCTATTAATTTTATTTAGGGATTGGGGATGAAAAAATAAAATTCGGAGGACCAGCAGTTAGTGTAATGGCTATGTCGCTGGACTCCCACATAGTCGACCGCGGTTCACGTCCTGGTCCCGGCGGCTTAAACTCACGCTGGGCGCGTGTGCGTGCATGCCCAAGATCCTGAGAGGAGAATGGAGGAGAAGGGATTGGGGCGTGGCGATCCCCCGGGGGGTGATTTCTCACTTTCTGTCTCTCTGTCTCTCTGTGTCTGTCTGGTGAGCGCACGCGCCCTATAGCAAAAACCTCTCCAAAAATAAAAAAGTAAAATAAGTAAATAAATAAAATAAAATTCGGGGCCAGCAAGTGGTGTGGTGGTCAAGGACCCTGGACTCCCACATGGCTGACCATGGTTTGGGTCTCGTACCTGGCGGCTTTCTTTCTCTCTCTCTCTCTTTCTTTCTGTTTCTCTCTCTAATTTGGAGAATCAAATTAAAATAAATAAATGAATAAATAAACTTAAAAAAATTAAATTAAAGGGACCAAAAGTTAGTGTAATGACTATGTCACTGGACTCCCACATAGTCAACCGCGGTTCGCGTCCCGGACCCAGTGGCTTAAAACTTAAGCCGGGCGTGTGTGCGTGCGTGCCCAAGATCCCGAGAGGAGAACAGAGGAGAAGGGACTGTGGCATGGCCATCCCCCCTGGGGGGGTGATTTCTCGCTTTCTGTCTGTCTCTCTCTCTGTCTGGCAAGTGCACGCTCCCTATAGCAAAAACCTCTCAAAAAAAAATTTAAATAAAAAAAAAAAAAACCACATACTTAAAACTGTAATAAGCCAGGACCAACAGATGGCATAATGGTTATATCGCTAGACTCCCACATGGCTGACCATGCTTCGAGTCCTGGACCTGGTGGCTAGAAAGTCACTGGACACGTGTGCATATGTGCCCAAAATACTGAAAGGAGAATGGATGAAATGGGGCTGTAGCGTGGCCAAACCCCCCTCGGGTGATTTCTTGCTTTCACTCTCTCTCATCTCTCTGGTAAGTGCACATGCCCTAGAACAAAAATCTCTCTAATAAACAAATAATAACAACAAATAAAATTACATAAATGTTTAAAAATTTATAAATCACAAGGCCAGCAGATGGCGCAGTGGTTAGGTCACTGGATTCCCACATGATCAACTGCAGTTCGAGTCCCAGACCCAGTGGCTTGAAACTCATTCCAGGTGCATGTTTGTGTGTGCCCAAAATTCCAAAGGGAGAATGGAGCAGAAGGAATTATGGTGTAGCCATGCCCCTTGGAGGATGACTCCTCCCTTTCCATCTCACTGTCTGTCTCTTTCTCTGGCAAATGCACACATCCCAAAACAAAATCTTCTAAAAAAATTAAATTGATAAATCACAATATATTATTCACACACTATTTGTGTAGTAAACAAAATAACTCAGATGCACAAAAGCAGAAGAAATAAAATCTGACCGAAAGCAGGACCAGGAGTTGGTGTAATGGCTATGTCGCTGGACTCCCATGTAGTCGACCATAATTTGAGTCCTAGACCTGATGGTTTAAACTCAATGCCGAGCACATGTGCGTGCGTGTCCAAGATCCCGAGAGGAGAATGGAGAAGGGATTGCAGCATGGCCTTCCCCCTGGGTGGTTATTTCTCGCTTCCTGTCTCTCTCTTTCTGGCGAGTGTACGTGCCCTATAGCAAAAACCTCTCCCAAAAAGAAAAACAAATTTTTTTGACTGAAGGGTCATTCAGCTAACTCTTCCAGAGGTAGAGTGGCATTCTGGATATGCATAAAATAATAAACAAAATTCTTCCGACTAGCTTTCTCCTTTGGACTACATTTTTTTTTTTTAAATATTTCTGCCATAACGCACATGCACTCACCAGAGAGGCTGAGAGAGAGACGGAGAGTGTGGAAAAGTGAGAATCACCTCCGAGGGGGGATGTTCATGTCACAATCCCTTCTCCCCCATTCTCGCACATATGCCCAGTGTGTTCTGGACTAGTCTTTAACATAGTTTACCTTTTAAATACACCATTCTGGGCCAGCTCTGTGGCATAATGGTTAAGGGAGTTGGATACCATATGGTCAACCATGGTTCGAATCCTGGTCCCAGCAGCTTGAAAAACATGCTGGGTATGTGTATGCATGCCCCAAATTCCAGAATGGAAAAACAGAAAAGAGATTGCAGTACTGGGGGCTGCTTTTTCCTCTCTCTCTCTGTTAAATGCATATGCTCCCTGGCAGTTAAAAAGAAATGGAAAAAATGTTTACCATTCTGCTATCACAATGGTAATTTATGATGCATTCCTTTATAAAAATGAATCTAACTTGAGCCTCACAGGGTGCCCCAAAATCAATTTTAGAAACAACTCAGTGGGTCACAGGTACATTTGCAAACATAGCACAATCTAAAATTCCATTTTCAGTCTGGATAAGGTACAAAAACAGATAGTTAGGCACAGATATGTGCAACTATTATTTTTATTTCTTAAAGTTATTCTGTAACAACCAGAAAATTCAACACGTTTGTACAAATACCTCTTGAAATCCAGCTTGATGCCTTTATTGCTCTTCACAACTTCAGTCAGCCACTCCTGTAGAGTATTATCACTGTTTGTTTCAGGAGGATGGGCCATGATTGGTTGACCATGTTCGGATCCATCACTTGGAAGAAGGACGTCAGCCTCTATCATGTGAGCAGAACCTGTCCAAGTAAAGGGACTTGCATTAAGGCTAATCAAACAAGGAGCAGACCAGCAGGAGATGCCATGACCAGTATCCTTGTGAGGAAGACAAAGGAAGGAAAGAGAATCAACACTTACTGAGCAACTACCCAATACCAGCTACTGTACAAGACCCTCACGTGTTGTCCGTAGCTTTTACAGATGAGCAAACAGGTGCCAAAAAGTTAAGTGACTTGCCAGGTCACATAGCACTCTTTTTATTTGCTTTTTATTACATGTGTTTATTCCATGAGAGAGAGAGCAAGTAAGGCTCCCCATAGCAGAGTCTTTATGCCACGATCCACCCCCAATCTCAGCTGGCCCAGGTCACGAACATGCCTGTGTACTCATAATATATCACATACTTTTTAAGTTGCTGTCATGGTTCTCCATTTCATTCCAGTAACTAGCAAAGTGAGTATACAAAGGGAAGCTTAACAAATATTTGTTGTTTTCTGGGAAGATAAATAGTATTTGTGCTTTATTTTTATTTATTTATTTGTTTTCGCTATAGGGTGTGTGCGTTTGCCAGAAAGACAGAGAGAGACAGAGAGACAGAAAGCAAGAAATCACCCCCCAGGGGAGATGGCCACGCCGCAATCCCTTCTCCTCCATTCTCCTCTCGGGATCTTTGACATGCACGCACATGCACCCAGCGTGAGTTTTAAGCCACCAGGTCAAGGACTCGAAGCGCAGACAACTACACGGGAGTCCAGTGACATAGCCATTACGCTAACTGCTGGTCCCTTTCTTTTTATGTTTTTGTCGTAGGGAATATGCACTCACCAGATGGAGACAGAAGGGGAAGAGAGAAATTACCCCCCGGGGAGGACAGCCACTCCACAGTGATTTCTTCTCCATTCTCCCCTCAGGATTTTGTGCACACATGAAAATGCACCCAGTATGATTTTCAAGCTGCTGGATCTGGGACTCAAACCATGGTTAGCCATATGGGAATACAGCACCTAAGCCACTAAACCACCTGCTGGCCCTATAAACAATACTTTCATCATCTTACTCCCCAAATTAGAAACTATGGATATTTATTACATTTGAAAAGTCTACATTAAAAATTCATTTCTTATTGGGGCCAGCAGATTTCAAGATAGTTAAGGCACTGGATCCCACACGGCCAACTGACCAATTTAAGTCCTGGACCGGGCAGCTTGAGAAAATCACTGGGAATATATGCATGCATACCCAAATTCCTAAGATAAGAATGGAAAAGGGATGGCGGCATGGTCATGTTCCCCTAGGGAATGATTTGTCACTTTATTCTCCTTCTCTCTGTCTCTTTCTGGCAAGCGCACTTGCCCTATAGCAAACTGAAAAATAATAATAATAATAATAATTTCTTGAGCCAGCCAGCGGTGAAGTGGTGAAGGTGGCTGGATCCAATGTGGCTGATCCTGCTATTCACGTTTCAGACCAAGGGCTTGAAAGATATATGGGTGTGTGAGTATATAAAAGCCTGAAAGGAGAAAGGGAGGAAAGGTGATAGCAGTTTGACCATGCCCTGTGGAGGGTGCTTTCTCACTTCCTCTCTCTCTCTGTCTCCAGTGAGCACATGTACCCTCTAGCAAATATTTTAAAAATCATTTATTTGAGACCAGCAAATAGCATAATGGTTACACAGCTGAATTCCCACATAATCAACTGTGGTTTGAGTCCCAGACCCGGCAACTTAAACTCGCACAGGGTACATGTGCATGTGTGTACAAGATCCCTAGAGGAAAATGGAAGAGAAGGGATTGCAGTGTGGCCATCCCCCCAAAGGGGTGATTTCTTGTTTACTGGGGAACACATGAACCCTATAGCAAAAATCTCTCTGAAAAAAATAATAAATCAGGGACCAGCAGGTAGCATGGTGATTAGGGCACTGGACTCCCAGAGTACCGACCATAGTTCAAGTCCCAGACCTGGTGGCTTGCTTTCTTACTTTCCTTCTCTCTCTTTCTCTATCTGCCTCTCTCTATTGAATGCATGTGTACTATAGCAAAACAAAACAATAATAATAATAACTAATAAAGTTAAAAAAATAATAATTTTTAAAAATCATTTCTTTGACTTAAAGCTCCAACACTCTCTGGAATACATACATTCCCCCTTCCTTCTCTTTTCTTCCCCTTGAATTAGGCTTGTCTTATGACTTACTTTGACCATCAGAAGGCAGTGGAAATAAAATTGTCAGTTCTGTGCCAGATCCTTGGCCTGGTAGTTGGGGCAGCCAGATCCTATGTGGCTGACCATGTGCTTTGAGTCTAGACTCAGGGGCCTGAGAAAAATGCTGGGCACATGTACACCCTAAAAGTAGGGAGAGACAGAGGAGGATTCTGATGTGACCATTCCTCATGGGGGGTACTTTCTCCTCTCCCTCTCTAAGAATGCAGATACCTCTAGTGAAAACAAACAAACAAAAACCTAAAAAAAGTCCAGTTCTTGGGCTGAATGGTGCCATCACTAAAACCTGAACATGGAACGAGAAGTGGCATGGTAGTTAAGGCACTGAACTCCTACATGGCTGAGCAAGGTTTGAGTCCCGGACCAGACAGCTTGAAACTCACTGGGCATGTGTACATGCATGCCCAAGATCCCAAGAGGAAAATGGAGGAAAAGGGATTATGGCATGGCTATCCTTCTGGGGGGTGATTTCTCACTTTTCCTCTCTCTGTTTCTGTTCTTTTTCTGGTGAGCACACACACCCTGTGGCAATCACCTAAAACAAATACACCCTCAACATTGGCTTTGGGACCTGGGGGAGGTGGAAAAAGACAGAGAGGGAACTATTAGTGGAAGCTGGAAGAGCAGTATGGAAATTCTTACTGAAAGTTTGAGAAGAGATCACCTATTTTATAGGTAGTAAAACTTTTGGCAACCCTGTCACCTGTAACAACTGGTGTGAGATAGACTGAAGACCTAACGAATTTGTTGACTGAACCTAAACAGGTTTTCAGGGACTATGCTGGAAAAATAAACCTTTCCCTCTTTATTCATGATAGAGCACATGTATGTGCACATGAGAGAAAGAGAAAGAAACAGATGAACACCCTCCACAGGGTCTGGTCACATCCCAATCCCTTCCCTCCAATCCTCCAGCCTATCAGATCTTGGACACTGTTAAAGACTGGCCAGGCCAGGGATTTAAACAAGTGCCCAGCATGAGTTTCAAGCCTCTGGATCTGGGACTTGAACCACAGTTGGCCATGGGGGAGTCCAGCAACATAACCATTATGCCATCTGCTGGTCCCAAAATTAAATAATTCTTTAAAAAACTAAAAATTTTTTAAAAGGTTTTGTGAATTCCATGATTATTACAAATTACACAATTTTTAAAGTTTCACTTCCAAATTTTCTGTTGTTGGAAATATAATTGGTGCCAGCAGATGGTATAGCAGTTATGTCACTGGACTCTCACATGGCTGTCTGTGGTTTGAATCCCAGACCTAGAGAGACTTGAAAACCACACTGGGCACATGTGCACGCATGCCCAAGATTCCAAGAGGAGAATGGAGGAGAAAGGACTGAGGCATGGCCATCCCACCTGAGGGTAATTTCTTGCTTTCTGTCTCTCTGTCTCTCCCTCTTAAAAAAAAGAAATGAAAAGAAATAAAATTAGTTTTCTTTTCTTAATGCAATTGATTTTGTTTTGACTTTGTATCCTGAATTTTCTAAATTTACTAATTTTACAATCACTGATTTTTTAATTTTCTAATTATACAATCATATTGCCTGTGAACAACTGTTATACTTTTCCTTTCCTATATATTTTTCCATTTTTACAAATTGAGATTTAAGACACATACTGTAAAATTCAGGCTCTCAGGGGCCAGTGGTGCAGCAATAAAACATGATGCTCTGTAAGGCTGACCCGTGTGAGTAGGTTCTTGTTCATTTCTGGAGACCTCCCCGAGTATGCTGCAGTTTGTTCAAAAAACCTGCCCAAGACGCGGAGCTGCCTGAAGCTGGGAGTGGCTCACAGTGTTCTGACCTCAGTGTCCAGACCAGGTTAGGGGGATTGCTTGTGTGTCCTCCATCTGTCTGTTTCTCTCTCTCATGCAAAAAACAAGTAAATAAACTTTCTTTTAAATTCACTCTTTTAAAGTATACTTTAATGGTTTTTAGAAGACATGCAACCATCACTACTTTGTAATTTCAGAAAATCTCATTGCCCCAAAAGAAATTCTGTATCCATTAGCATTCACTCCTGCCTACTCCTGGCAACCCACTAATCAACTTTTTCCTGAGGTATCATTTTAGCTAAAACTTAATAAACAACCTCTGTGTGATTATTATATGCTAAGCACTGTTTCTGACATTACGGATTCAATATTAAACAAGACAATGGTCCTTTTTTTGAAGAGAAAAGAAAGGCATTTAAAACAGTATTTTTGAGCTGGCCCCATAGTCTAATGGTTAAGAAGGCAGGATTCTACGTGGCTGATCATAGTCTGAATTCCAGCCTCAATGGCTTAAAAAATATAACAGGCACATGTGTGTGCATGCCCCAAATCCTGACAAGACAGAGAAATGGAGGACAAAGGATTGTGGTGTGACCACATTCCCATGGGTGGGGGATGTTGTATCCCTCTCTTTTTCTCTACCTCTCTCTCTGGCAAGCGCATGCAACCTCTGCCAATAAAAAGCAAAGAAAGTGTTTATACAAAAGCCCAGATACATAATGGAGTAGGGTACAAAAATACATGAAGTTGGGATCAGCAGATGTGTAATGGTTACGTCACTGGACTCCCACATGACCAACCCCGGGTTGAATCCCAGACCTGGCGACTTAAAACTCACGCCTGTGTATGCATGCCCAAGATCAAAGAGGAGAAGAGAGGAGACTGCAGCATGGCCATCCTTCCTGAGGGGTGATTTCTCACTTTCTGTCTCTCTGTCTCTCTAGCGAATGCAAACGAGCTATAGCAAAGATCACTCTAAAATAATTAATTAAAAAATAAAATTTAAAAAAATGCATAAAGTTCTACAATGAAACATGAGATTTCAAGGAAGCTTCCCTTGTAGGACCAGGTCACTTACAGCTAGGCCCCAGCCACATGCAGTCTCTAGCTACAAGGGAACTGCCCAGGAAAAGGCTGGGAAAATGCTACAATGTTCCCTTATGAAATGAAGGGGCATACAAGAGGATTTCAAAAACTCTGTGAAAGGGGCCAGCAGGTGATGTGGTGGGTAAGGGCCCTGGACTCCCACACGGCTGACTGTGGCTTGAGTCCTGGACCTGGAGGCTTGCTTATCACTTTCCTTCTCTTTCTCTCTTGCTCTCCGTGTCTCTCTCTTGAAACATGAAAAGAATAAAAAATAAAAAAATAAAAAGTTAAATAAAATAATTATTTTTAAAAAGTCTGTGAAAAAATGGAATTAAAGTATAAGTTTATTTTGGTGCAAAACATTTTTGAAATCCATGCAGCTGTCTCATAACATGCATTCTCTGTGAACATTTTGAAGACCCCCTGGTATACATGACTACAGAAGGAATCAGCAAACCAAACGCTAGCTTTGCAGCTTAGGCAAAATACTGCTTAAGGCAATTAATTCTAAATTAACATACAAGGGCTACATCCATTTGACAAGTATTTATTGAGCTTCTACTTCACACACCATAAAAGGCACAAAAATACATAAGATACATAACCCCAATGTTAAAAATTTTACTCAAATCACAGAGTACTATATTAAATAATGTAATAATACATGTGGGTTTCAAATAAGGTATGAAAAGGCTAATTACTTCTAGAAAATAAGAAAATTCTCCCATTGTGGAATTTGTTCATTTTATAATCAAAATGAAACCCCTTTGGAAGATATTTGTTCACCTAGAATTAACAGTTGTACCATCTAAATCTCTGGTACCTGCAAACATGCCTAGATATCCTAAAAGGCATTCGCTTAGTTATCCAAGTAAGTACTAGTAAGAAACTTGCAGGGACTTACTTCTCAGTGCCTCCTTCATCTGTGCTTTGTGGTTAGCTGCATGATACCAGATGATCTCAGCGCCATCTTCTGTTGTAATCTGGTTATTTCTCAGAAAATACTCCAATATGTTTTCACTCCAAGATCCTAAAATAACAGTATTTACATGAAAAATACTCTTTTATAGCTTAACTTTTTAAACTAAATTTGACTGTGCATAGGTAAAGTATACAATACAACGTTACGGACTACACAGAGGCATAAAGATGGCTACCGAAAGCATACCCGTTATGTCAGTTACTCGTGTTTTGGTTTTGTTTTCATGTCAAGGGTAGCTAAAATATTCATTTAGTATGAATGCCACATGTTCCCATCCCACAGCCCTCATGTTGTAATTAGCTCTCTGAACATGTTCACCCTGCATGTCTGCTGCTTCCTATCATCCGACTTACAACCCCACCCTGCTTCCTTGTCTTGCAGCCATCCCTGTAGCCTCTGGAAACCACTGCTCTGATCAGGTCGTGGAGGAGTGTACAGAAATAACTTCTGGGAACCAGCAGTTAGCGTAATGGCTATGCCGCTGGACTCCCACGTAGTCGACCGCGGTTCGCGTCCCGGACCCGGTGGCTTAAAACCCACGCCGGACGCGTGTGCGTGCGTACCCAAGATCCCGAGAGGAGAATGGAGGAGAAGGGATTGCGGCGTGGCCATCCCCTCTGGGGGTGATTTCTCGCTTTCTGTCTGTCTCTGTCTGTCTGTCTGGCGAGCACACATGCCCTATAGTGAAAAATCTCTCAAAAAAAAAAAAAAAAAGAACTCCTAACTAACACATATGCTACTTACTGAGCACTCTGTATACTGGGCTACAGAGTGAAGAAAAGAACATTAGCTGGAACATGCCTATTTCCAAGCAGTCTCCCACTCAAACTTACGGCTCTGTTTAGCATACAATGGGGTCCCAGACTTTTTTGGCTTAGATAGATATCTTTTTAATTTTGGAGAGGTTTTTGCTATAGGGTGCATGTGCTCACCAGAAAGACAGAGAGATAGAAAGCGAGAAATCAACCCTCAGGGGGGATGCCCACACTGCAATCCCTTCTCCTCCATTCTCCTCTTGGGATCTTGGGTACGCACGCACACACACCCAGCATGAGTTTAAGCCACTGGGTCTAGGACTTGAACCATGGTCAACTACATGGGACACCAGTGACATAGCCATTACACCAACTGCTGGTTCCAATATTTTTTAAATTTACTTTATTATTATTCTTCAAATTGACCAGAGAGAGACATAGAAAGAGAGAGGGAGAGTGAGAAGGCAAGCAGTCAGGTCCAGCACTTGAACCATGGTGGCCATGTGGGATCCAGCACCTTAACCACCATGCCACCTGTCGGCCCCTATTTTTAAATATTTAAATTAAGCATTTTTAGATGGCACATTATTGGCTATAAAAAATGTCCACCAATAAGAATAATTAAATCTTAGGACCAGCAAATGGCATAATGGTTACGTTGCTGAACTCCCAGGCAGTCAACTGTGGTTCAAGTCCTGGACCTGGCAGATTAAAATTCACACTGGGTGTGTGTGCATATGCCCAAAATCCTGAGAGGAGGAGGGACTGTGACATGGCCATCCCCCCGGGGGGTGATTTCTTGCTTTCCATCTCTCCAGCAAGCACATGTGCTCTCTAAAAAAAATATTTAAATCCTAATATATATTTATGATAGAATGAGACTTACATAACCGTTAAAAATAAAGTTTTTAAAATACAACAAATGACTTAGATAAATGATAATTGGGTATACTACCACAAAAAAATCTGAATGCTAGTTAATAGTATATAGGGATATTTCAATGGCATTAAACACACAGGATTCAGAATATTTATAGGGACCAGCAGGTGGTGTAATGGTTACCTTGCTGGACTCTCAGGTAGTTGACTGGGGTGCGAGTCCTGGACCTGGTGGCTTAAAACTCACACTGGGCATGTGTGCATGCATGCCCAAGAACCCAAGAAGAGAATGGAGTAGAAGGGATTGCAGCATGGCCATCATCCTTAGCAGATGAGTTTTTGCTTTCTGTCTCTGTCTCTGTTTCTCTGGTGAGTGCACATGCCCTATAGTAAAAATCTCTAAGGGAAAAATAAAGTTTATAAAGGCATAAATTAATAATAAAATACCATTATTCTAAAATTTAAAAACATTTTTTAGAAGTTTTTGCTATAGGGCGTGTGCGCTTGCCAGAAAGACAGAGACAGAGAGACAGAAAGCGAGAAATCACCCCCCCCAGGGGGGATGGCCATACCGCAATCCCTTCTCCTCCATTCTCCTCTCAGGATCTTGGGCACATATGCACACGTGCCTGGCGTGAGTTTATGACACTGGGTCCGAGACTCAAACCATGGTTGACTACGTGGGAGTTCAGTGACACAGCCATTATGCCAACTGCTGGTCCCTACAGTTTAAAAACATTTGAAGGGGCCAGAAGGTGGTGTGGTGGTTGGGTGCGCTGGACTTCCACATGGCTGACCACAGTTCGAGTCCCAGACCTGGCGGCTTGCTTTCTTGTTTCCCTCTGTTTCATTCTGCCCCTTTGTGGTCAAGTTAAAAGATAAATAAATAAGTGAATAAGTAAAGTTAAATAAAATGATTCTTTAAAAAAAATTGCAGTAAAAAGTTCTCTAGTTCTCCTGCCTTTTATTGGATGAAATTGCTAGCTTGTATTAGCCATGACTGTATATATCATTAGAATTTAAGGCTCCAATTGAGGCCAGGAGGTGGCATGGTGGTTAAGGCACTGAATTCCCACATGGCCGATTGCCATGGACCCTGCACCTTAAAAATCACTCCAGGTGCATGTGTGTGCGTGCAGAGAAGGGACTGCAGTGTGGCCATACCCCCAGGGATGACTTCTCATTTTCCCTCTCTGGTGACAGAAACGTTAAAAAAAAGAAAAAAAAAAAAAAAAGGCTCCACTTACCTGTATTCTTGGGTCAGTATTAATTGTATTTTATTACATTATTATTTCAAGTAGACTGGAATTCTGAAAATAAGGCCAAAAGAAAGGCAGAATCCACTGCCCTTTCTTTCTTTTTTTTTTTTTTAAGATTAAGATCCTTGGGACCGGGGCTGGCAGGTAGCATGGTGGTTAAAGAGGCTGGACTCCCACATGGCTGACTGTGGTTCAAGTCCTGGACCTGGTGGCTTGCTTTCTCACTTTCCTTTGCTCTCTCTGTCTCTCTCTGGTCAACTTCAATAAAATAAAATAATGACCATAAATAAAATTAAATAATTCTTTTAGAAAAAAAAATTAAAAAGATTATTGGGACCAGCAGGTGGCATAATGGTTGCATTGCTGGACTCCCATGTAGTTGACCACAGTTCAAGTCCCAGACTCAGCAGATCAAAACTCATGCCAGGCATGTGTGCCCAAGATCCCATGAGAAGAATGGAGGAGAAGGGATTGCGGCATGGCAATCCCCCCTGGAAAATAATTTCTTGCTCTCTCTCTCTCTCTTTCTCTCTCTCTGGTGAGCACATGTACCCTAGAGTAAAAATCTCTCTCAAAAAAAAATTACAACTTTTGGGAACAGTTTGAGTTTACACAAAAAACTGAGCAAAAAGTAGTTTTCCCACATGTTCCTTCCTCCTGAGGCATTTATTTATTTATTTATTTATTTATAGAGGTTTTTGCTACAGGGCGCATGTGCTCGTCAGAAAGACAGAGAAAGACGGAGTTGCTATAGAGCGCATGCGCTCGCCAGACAAACAGGGAGAGACAGAAAGTGAGAAATCACCCCCAGGGGGGATGGCCACGCCACAATCCCTTCTCCTCCATTCTCCTCTCTGGATCTTGGGCACGCACGCACACACGCCAGGTGTGAGTTTAAGCCGCCAGGTCCGGGACTTGAACCGCGGTCGACTACGTGGGAGTCCAGAGACATAGCCATTATGCTAACTGCTGGTACCCTGTGCCATTTATTTTTTGAAAGATTATTTACTTATTTCTTCCATGAGAGAGACAGAGAGTGCACCCCAAGAGGGTCCCAATGCTGTGATCCATCCTCAGCTTCGTCTGACCTGGAGTCATGAACATACGTGGTAGGCACTCTCAGGAAGGTCACTGGCCATGAACCTGGAAACTTCCCGTGTGGGTCAGCCTCAGAGCTCTCTGTTTACCACGCACCATCGTCCTGTCCCCAGTTTTCCCTGTAGTTAACATGCTGAGTTAGCGTGGCAAGTCTGTTAAAATTGATGAGCCAGGGCCAATTGGTAGCGTGGTGGGTAAGGCAGCTCAATCCCACATAGCCAAATGCTGAGTCCCAGAACTGACAGTTTGACACTCATGCTGGACAAATGTACATGCACATCCAAAATCTAGTTAATTCTGTCATTTGTGACCGCATAGGCAAACCTGGGTAGCATTTTGCATAATGAAATAAGCCAGGCACAGGAAGACAAATGTTGTATGATGTCATTAATATGCAGGCTCTAAGGGAAGCTCGTAGGAGTAGAGTAGAATGGGGTTCTCAGAGGCTGTAGGGGAGAGGGGTTGTATGAAGAAAGGGAAGATGTTAGATGATACAAAGTTTCAATAAGACAGAAGGAATGAATTCCAATGATCTGTGGTACAACAGGTTAGCTAGAGTTAAAAACACAGCGATGTGGGCCAGCAGGAGGCGGGTGCTTAAGGCACTGGATTCTCACATGGTTGAACACGGTTTGAGGCTGGACCTACTGGCTTGAAAATCATAACAAATAAAAAGACAAATAAATGAATAAATAAATGTAAAAATAGATAGTGACGTTACCATCGATTTAAAAATGGCTAAAAGTGTAGATTTTAAATGTTCTCACTACAAAGAGGTTAGAATGTGAGGTGAAGGATATATTGGCCTGATTTAATCATCCCATGATGTATACACATATCAAATCACACTATACCCCATAAATACAGTAGCTATACATTGATTTGAGTGGATGCCTAAAGTAGCACACCCAATAGAAACTATGTTCTTTCCCATTCATACCATACGTAAGATAAAGTTTAAATTATAAATGAGGCATAGTACGAGATTAACAACTAGTGGATAAAATAGATAAAAAACAATATGCCAGCATTACTACTCTTGTGCTTAGGGGCCATTAATAAGTAAAGTAAGGGTTACTTGAATTCGTGCACTGTCACCCTGGACAGTCCATTTGATAACCTAGATGGCTACTAAGCAATAAATGGGCCAAGAGTACACAGTGTAGAAACACTGGACAAAGCGATGACTCGTGTCCCAGAGGGTTGGACCGGGACAGTGGGAGATTCCCTCACTCTATGAGAAGGCATGCAATTTAAAACTTATGAACTGTCTGTTACTGTAACTGTCCATTTAACTTTCAGAGACAATTGACAGGTAAATAACTGTAACTGTACAAAGGGTGGGTTACTATGTTAATTAAAATTTAAACTAAATTTTTAAGAAGTTTACTGGTCCCTGGACTAGGCAATCATTAAGGTTCCTTCGAGTTTCCCAAAGTAACTACTCAAAGTAATTTATCATTAAAAAAATCTATACTGGGACCAGCAGATGGCATAATGTTTATGTCACTGGACTCCCAAGTTGTCAACCCCCATTCGAGTCCTGGACCCAGCAGCTTAAAGCTCACGCCGACATGTGTGTGTGTACATGCCCAAAATCCCAAGAGGAAGATGGAGAAGGGATTGCTGTGTGGCCACCTCCCCAGGGGTTGATTTCTCATTTTCTGTCTCTCTCTGTCTTTCCGGTCAAGTGCATGCACCCCATAGTAAAAACCTCTCTTCAAAACAAAACAAAACAAAACAAAAACACAACATCATGTCCACACAAAGACTTGTATATGAATGTCTAGAGCAGTGCTGTTCAGAATAGCCAAAAGATGGAAGCATCCCAAATGTCTATCAATAATCAGTGGATAAAAAAATGTGGTATATGCATACGATGCGATTTTATTTGGCCATAACAAGGAATGAAGTACTCATACATGAACGCTATGGATGAACCATAAAAACGTTATACTAGGTGAAAGAAGCCAGGCACAAAAGATCATATATTGTAAGACTGCAATTATATGAAATTTCCATAAGTAGGCAAAGTCATGGAGACAGAAAGATGGGGGTTGGGAAAATTAAAGGAGAGGTAGAAAGTTCTTTTCGTGGTGATGAAAATGCTCAAAAACTGATTGTGGTAATGATTGCACAAATTTGTGAATATGCTAAAAACTGAATTATAAACTTTAAATGAATTAATTGTACGGTATGCAAATTACCCATCAATATAGATTTTTTTTTTGAGAGATTTTCACTGTAGGGCGTGTGCGCTCGCCAGACAGACAGAGAGAGACATAGAGACAGAAAGCGAGAAATCACCCCCCCAGGGGGGATGGTCACGCCGCAATCCCTTCTCTTCCATTCTCCTCTCGGGATCTTGGGCACGCACGCACACGCGCCCGGCGTGAGTTTCAAGCCACCGGGTCCGGGACACGAACCGCGGTCGACTACGTAGGAGTACAGCGACATAGCCATTACGCTAACTGCTGGTTCCCAATATAGATTTTTTTAAAAAGGTTTTAAAAGAGTACATTTAGGGGTAGGCAGGTGGCTAGTGGTTAAGGCAGTGGACTCCCGCACAGCAGACCACAATATGAATCCTGGACCTAGCAGCTTGCTTTCTCACTTTCCTCTTCTCACTCTATCTCTGTCTCTCCCTGGTGAGTGCATGTGTCCTATAGCAAATTTGAAAATATTAATAATAAATAAAATTTAAACTCTAAAAAATTACATTTACTCAAAAATTCCACTTCTGAAAACTTAACCCAAAGACTGATATGCTTTCATATCGGACATAACATGTTTTATGTAAGAATATTTATTTGCTCATAATAGCAAAAGAATGAAAACCATCAACAATGTCCATCAACAAGGTATTATTTGACTGGACTAATATACAATATATTCATGCTGGGAAAATTCATTTTGTATGCTGGAAAGATGCAGTGACTGCATGTAAAAAAGAAAAGAAAAAAGTTTTGATCCTTTGGTGCATAGTTCCTATTATAAAGATCCTGTTCAGGGTAATTTTTTAAAAATCAGATTTGGGGGACCAGCAGTTAGCGTAATGGCTACGTCGCTGGACTCCCACGTAGTCAACCGCAGTTCGCGTCCTGGACCCGGTGGCTTAAAACTCATGCCAGGCGCGTGTGCATGTGTGCCCAAGATCCAGCGAGGAGAATGGAGGAGAAGGGATTGCAGTGTGGCCATCCCTCTTGGGGGGTGATTTCTAGCTTTCTGTCTCTCTGTCTCTCTGTCTGGCGAGCGCACGGCCCTATAGCAAAAACCTCTCAAAAAAAAAAAATCAGATTTGAGGTAGAATTTCAAAAAAAAGTAAACAACTGATAAATTTCAACATTAGGAGACTGGTTAAGTAAATTACAGTGTAATTGCATAATGACACAATCCAAAAATGTTTTAAAAAGCTTTTGTGACAAGAGGATTTTATGAGAACATGCATGATTTTAAAAATCTCTTATGTACCATGATTTTAACTTTATTATTTTTAAAAGAATTATTTAATTTGGGGAGCCAGCAGGTGGTGTGGTGGTTTTATTTTCATCACTAGCTATCAACGGCTACGCACCAAGAAGCTGGATTAATGCCTGATCACATTGCTAGGTCTGTATTTCTCAAAGAGTAACCAGCCTGACCAATCTGCATTTGGCCTTTGGAAATTTTGGATGAGAACTGTGTCACATTCCTCTCATTCCAACCAAGATCTCAATAGGCAGTAATCCTGTCCCTCTGGGCCACTCCTGTTTAACGCCGACCCCAGGAACCACGCCAACGCCAACGCCGGCGCCGGGGAGGTCGCTTCTCTCCCGTATCCGTCATGCGGAGGGTCTCGGGGACGCAGAAAAGGGAGAAGTGCGCCCAGCGGAGCCTCTCAAAGCTTCCGGACCTGAAGCCGGAAAAGGCGGGGGCAGGCGTGGCTCTCCCAGTGCGCGCCGCTAGCACAGTGGGACCGGCCGGAAGCCACGGGGACCGGCGCTTACCCGGGCCCCCAGCGGGCGCTGTCATGGTGACGGACGCTTGCCGTCTGCGCAGGCGCCGAGCCGCCGGCGCCCACACTGATCCGTCACGGGTGCGAGGAAACCCGACTCCAAAACAGGTGAAGGCAGAAGAGCCGTCGGCAGGGAACCTGCGACGGCGCGGGCCTAGCGGAACCGGAAGAGGCGGGGAACGGAACGCATGCGCAGAAGCCGGGCGTCCGAATTCGTACTGGTGACTTGGGAGCAGAGGTGTGCGGTTCTCCGGCAAAACGCAGTGGCAGGAGAGGTAGTGGCATAGGGCGATGTCCCAACCGAAAGAAGCCGCTGGTTGCGGTACGAACCTCCAAAGTCGGACGTCTGTCCATTTTAACTTTAGTAACATCCTTAAAAAAAGGTGCAATAGTTAGTCCATAAACAATGTTTCTGCTCCAGGTACTGAGCCCGTAGCTGGGAGGCAAGGAGACGCCCTGTCCTCAAACAAAACACAGAAAGTTTGAGATATACCACTGACTGATCTACATCTGATTAATTTCTTAAATGACTAATAATGTATAGTGTACAATCCAGTGCATTCGTAGGATTGTACCCCATCACAAGTAACTTTATAATTTTCATGGCCTCAGAACATTTACTCTCCATTTTCCCTGAGGCAACCACTAATCTACTTGTCTTCATTAATTTGCCTTTTCAGGACACTTCATGTAAATGGAATATACAATATATGACCCTTTGTGTCTGACTTTTTTCATTTAGCATGTTTTCAGGGCTCATCCAATGTTTTTTCTCCCTCTTATATTGAAATGAATTCTACTGCTTGCATATGCCACGTTCTATTTGTCCATTAATCAGTTGATGGAAATTTGGATTGTTTTTACTTCTTAGCTCCATGAATAATACTGCTGTGAACGTATGTGTACAACTTTTTTTTAAGTTTACCAGAGAAGGATAGAGTGAGAGAGAGGGAGAGATAAAGTGAAAAAGCAAGTTGCCAGGTCTGGAACTCAAACCAGTCAGCCATATGGGAATCCAGTGTCCTTAACCACCACACCACTTGGACACGTTTTGTATGGACATACTCTCTTGTGTATATACCTAGGAGTGGAACTGGTTGTGAGGAAATGTCAAACAGTTTTGCAAAGTAGTTGTACTGTTTTGCATTTCAATCGGCAATGTATGAGTGGTCCAAATTCTCCACATCCTCATGAATACTTGCTATTATGTCTTTTTTTAATCCTACTGGATATGAGGTAGTACTTCATTGCCTTGATTTTCATTTCCCTACTAATACATTAGAGTATATTTCCAGCCATTATTAGTGTATTAACCATTTATATATGTTTGGAAAAATATCTATTGTTCTTTGCTAATTTTATTATCAGAGAGCATATACGCTTGCCAGAAAGAGAAGGGACCCTCCAATGTGGAATGTACCTTTTTTTCTCCATTTCTCCATCCTGTCAGGTTTGGGGCATGCATGTACACGTACCTAACAAGTTTTTCAAGCTGCCAGGGCCAAAATGAAAACACGGTCAATCATGTGGGATCCAGCTCTCGTTTTGTTTGAGAGAGATTTTTGCTATAGGGCATGTCTTCACTGTAGAGACAGAAAGTGAGAAATCACCTCCAAGGGAGGATGGCCATGCCACAATCCCCTCTCCTCCATTCTCCTCTTGGGATCTTGGGCACACAGGCACACACACCCAGCATGAGTTTTAATCTGCTGGGTCCAGAACTTGAACTGTGATTGACTACATGAGGGTTCAGCAACATGACCATTACACCATCTGCTGGTCCTTGTTTTTTTTTAAGAGAGAGATTTTTGCTATGGGGTAATTACACTTACGAGAGAGACAGACAGAAAGTGGGAAATTACCCCACCCCACCCCTCGGGGCGAGGATGACCACATTCACAATCCCTTCTCCATTCTCCTCTCAGGACTTGGGGCAAGCACGCATATGTGCCTAGCATGAATTTTAGGCCACTGGGTCCAGGACTCAAACTGTGGTTGACTACATGGGAGTCCAGCGATGTAACCATTATACCATCTGCTGGTTCCATACTTTTAAATATGTCTACATCGATGCCATTGTTCTGCAATTTTGAACCTTGTCTCATATTTATTCTGCAGTTCCGCAGGTATTTTTGTACCAAAAGATGCTTAAAAGTTACCTGCCAAACTTTTAGTCTTTGCAATATATTCTTTCCTGCACATAATTTGTTAAACCCAGGGATAGCACTAATTATAAATATCCTAAATTGTGATTAAAAATAAAAACAGAACTAATATAATTTTATGCTTTTTATTTACTTATTTTATTCACGGTACAGAGCATGTGTACAAGAGAGGGAAAGAATATATTTGACAGTCGAGTCCAGCCACACCAGGATTCCCTTCCTCCAGCTCATCCACATCTTGGCCATGAGTGTATGCCCCCAGCATGTCTCAAGTTAACTGTGCCAAGGATTCTAATGCACAGCCAGCCATGTGGCTTCCAGCATGGTAGTGCAGTGTGCTACACACCACGCCACAAGAGGCTGGGCCTCACTGAATTTTTAATGGCCTCAGAAGTAGAATTAAGTCAAGACAACTTAAATATTTTATATCTTAGTTCATTTTAACTACTTAAACATTTTGTTAAAGAATTAATTTTATTATCATTATTTTTTCAATTTGACCAGAGACAGGGAGAGAGAGTGAGACAGCAAGCTACCAGGTCTGGGACTTGAGCCATGGTCAGCCATGTGGGAGCCCAGCACTTTAACTACCATGCCACATGCCAGCTCCACTGTCTATAAATTTTTAAAAGCTCAACGTAAATAGGGACCAGCAGATAGTGTAATGGCTACACTGCTGGACTCCCATGTAGTTGACTGCAGTTCAAGTCTTGGACCTGGTGGCTTACACTCAGGCCAGGTGCATATACATGCATTCCCAAGATTCCCAGAGGAAAATGGAGAAGGGATTGCAATGTGGCCTTCCCCCCTAGGGGGTGATTTCTTGCTTTCTGTCTCTTTCTGGCAAGTGCATGCACCCTAGAGCAAACACCTTTTCAAAAAAAAAAAAAAAAACTCAACATAAATCACTTATTGCTGCCACATATCTAGTTAGCTGTGTCTGCTTAGTATTTAGTGACTTATGAAAATACAAAATCACAGGGTCCTAGATGAATTTTAGACATCTAGATTATATGCAGTTGTTATAAGAACGGCATTCATTGGTCAGAAGAGACTTCAATTCTTGTTTCGTCTGTATGAGCTCTGGCCATCGTGTCCTAAAACTAGCACTTCATTACTTTGTAAAAGAAAAGCTATCCAGGGACCAGAAAGTGATATAGTGGTAAAGGCACTCGATTCTGGTAGATAGAATATAATGTTGTCTTGTTTTTATCCAATCTAGGTGTTTCCATTGCCATATTTAGACCATTTAATGTAATTTTTTTGTGGCTGGATGTTAAGTCTACCATGTGATCATGAATTTTTGTTTGTCCTTTATGTTTTTCATCCTTATTTTCCTTTCCAGCTTTAGCTTGAATTATTTGTATTTCAGAATTCAATTTTTATATATATTGGATTTTTTAAAGAATTGTTTAAATTTATGTATATTATTATTATTTTTGGAGAGGTTTTTGCTATAGAGCACGTGCACTCACCAGAGAGACAGAGACAGAAAGCGAGATATCACCCCTCAGGGGGGACAGCCACGCCGCAACCCGTTCTCCGTTCTCCTCTCAGAATCTTGGGCACGCACGCACACACGCCTGGTGTGAGTTCAAGTCACCGAGTCAACTACATGGGAGCCAGTGACATAACCATTACGCCACCTACTGGACCCTGTATTATTATTTTTAAAAATCTGACCAGAGGGAGAGAGAGAAGGAAAGTGAGAAAGCAAGCCGCCAGGTTCAGGACTCAAACCATAGTCAGCCACATGGTAGTCCAGCGCTTCTAACTGCCACACCACCTGAGTCCCTACACTGGCTCTTTAAACAAATCTTCTTGCATTGTTTTTTAAAATGGTTGTTCTAAGATTATTACATTTCTTTTAAAAACCTATTTATTTATTTTTACCACTTCCAGTATAATACAGAAACTTGCCACTATATAGGACCCTTGACTATCTTCCCCTGCCCTCACCCCAACCCTATTAGGATATAGTTCTCAAATGTACATCTATCTATATACATTGAATATCCCATCAGATGATGTCATACATTTTTTACATTTTTGGTTAGTTAGCTATAAGGCATATGTGCTTTGCAAGAGAGAGTGAGTGAGTGAGTGAGAGAAAGTAAGAAAGCAACTGTAATCCCCTGTCCTCTGGTGTCCTCTCAGGACCTTGGGCACACATGCACATGCTCCTAGCATGTCCCTCAAGCTGCTGCATCTGGGATTCAAACCACACAGCTGGCCATGTGGGATCCAGCCACCCAACCACCATGCCACCAGCTTTGGAGGTTTTGGTTGCTTGGTTGTTTTCAGCAAGAACATGGACCTAAATATCCTAGAATGAAATTTCTAGAAATAGAAATTTCCCACAATTTTATCTTTGTTCCTATTCTTTCTCTGGGCATTCTTTGCACTTAGCACATTATTGACTGTGGCATGGAATCCATAAATAAGAAATGTTGATATATCTAATTCTGTCAGAACAATTAGTCATTTCTTAGCAATCTTTATTTAGAAAGACTGCATATAGCACAAAGGAAGTATACAGAAATACATAAACTGATTATCTATATAAATAGATGGGCTAGATTTTACTTATTTCAAAATTCAGAGCAAGGGAGTAATTTTTTTTAAGAATTATTCATTTATTTTTACTTATTTTTTAAAATTTGACTAGAGAGGGACAGAGTGTGAGAGAGAGAGGGAAACTGAGAAAGCAAGCTGCCAGGTCTGGGACTCAAATTGTAGTCAATCATGTGGGAGTCCAGCCACCTTGACCACCACACCACCTACCTGCCCTGCAAGGGAATAGTATTAAAAGGCTTAAAACCATGGGGCCAGGAGGTGGCATAGTGGTTGAGGTGCTGGATTCCCACATAGCCATGTCTTGGACCTGGCGACTTGAAAGTCAGAAATAGATAAATTTTTTAATTTTAATTAATTAATTTTAATTAAAATGTAATTAATTTAAAATTAAATGTAATTAAAATTTAATTAATGTTACATTTTTTTTCCAATTTGATGAGATAAAGGAAGAGAGAGAGCGTGAGTGTGTGTGTGTGTGTGTGTGTGTGTGTGTGTGAGAAAACAAGCCGACCGTTCCAGAATTCAAACCATGGTTGGCCATGTGGGAGTCCAGTGCCCCCAACCACCATGCCACCTGCCAGCCCAATAATTTTTTTTTTTTTTTGGAGAGGTCTTTGCTATAGGGCACATGCGCTTCCCAGAAAGAGAAAAAGGGAGAAATTACCCCCTGGGGGAATGGCCACACCGCAGTCCCTTCTCCTCTCGGGATCTTGGGCATAGAAGCCCACACGCCCGGCATGAGTTGAAGCCACCGGGCCTGGGACTCGAACCGCGATCGACTACGTGGGAATCCAGTGACATAGCCATTACGCTAACTACTGGTCTCCCCCCACCCACCCCTTGTTTTTTAAAGGCTTAAGACCTAAAATAGATCACTATAGACTGAGTACAGAGAGCCATTCTATTTTTTAACCATTAAAAAAAACTAAAAGTTCAAATTAAGTGCCAATGTGAAGAACATGACCAAATAACCAGTGCATTCAGAAACACATTATACATATACAAAGAGTACTTTAAACTTTAAAATGTACCTCCAAACTTTGGGCATATCATTCCAATTTTTATTGAACATATACACTCTTCAAAACAAATCCAAAGCTACTCCAATATGGAAGGGTCCTCCACCACTTGGTTGTTTTAAATTAATTTTGGTACTCAGAGATTATGCAATTATATTGTAAAATACATACTATTATATAAAGAGAACATAATTGAGTTTGATATGCACTTATTTTTATCTTGTATCCCTTCAATAAATTTCACAAGTTATGACATGTTTCCATTTTATTTAATAGCTGCAACATCTTACATTGCTTATGAAGTAGCTATCTCTAGAAGATTGATATTCTCTTCCCAACTGTGTCTTTGGCTAGTATGACGGGTGTGATCCAGCAGGAACCCTATGCCCCAACTGATAAAACTTCTTAATTTCTCCTAGCCTGAGACCTCAGATCCTGAGTTAAAACCTTGACTTAATCTTCAAGTTGAGATGCTTCACAAATATTTTTCTTAAAACAGGCCCATTTAGTGTAGTTTCTTCTTTGAGATATATGAGTGTTTTTGATACAAAAACATATACAAAGTATCAAAATAATGATTAGATGTTATATAACTTAAGTGACAGGTCTAAAATATGCCCTTTACTCTTTTTTCTGTTTGAAGTAAAGGAAGTTCTGTAACAGTTTCAAATACATACAATTTAACTTATGTTAATATCCTTTATAAAAAATAATTACCATATAAAGAATTTAATATTTACAAGAGTAATTTGATTCATTAAAATTTATACTTAATACGTTGGTGTCAAGTAAAATATGCAGAGCTGACAAATTTCTAAAGATAAAACTGGAAGTGAAAAACAGGCTTCATTTATTGCTACATAATGACTACTTTAAGGGTCAGCTGGCCTGCTGTCAGTCACTCTTAGAAATGATATATACAGTGGTATACTTTGGAAGGAAAAGAGGAAAAATAATGCACTGTGATACAAAAATATTACCTATTTATAAATTATTAAAGATTTATAAAACACTGAATCATATGTTCTTGCTATAAAAATGACATACCTAAATATAGAAGCACAAAATCCTGAAGCACCCACAATTATTTTAAGAATACCCATTTAATCAGGAAAAAACAAGATATATATATATATATATATACACACACATATATATGTATATATATGTGTGTGTATATATATATATATATAAAATTTGAGGAGAAAAAAGGCAAAATTCTGAATTTAATCCAAACAATCATAGTTTATCTAATCATGGAGGTAGGTCTCCACTCCAATTATACAAATAAGGTAACTGGCCTAATTCGAAGTATAAGACTAAGATCTTAAAATTTGTCTTTGCCATTAATATTTTTAATAGGCTTTAGAACCAGTATTCTAACTGGGATATACAATAACAGATATTTCCTTCATAAGGTTACACCTGAAAAGAGCCTTCATTAAAATCATTCTTGGCATAAAGAGGTATACCTAAGTGCAAATACTTTGGCTTAGCATTTCATTAACACAGTAAATGCTATAAATTTCTTCAAATTAGAAGAAATCTTTGTCTTTTTAGTACTTCTTGTATATAAAGCTTCAAAAACTGGATCTCTTAAACTTATATATTTAAATATTGTGCTAATGATTCAAGAAGTTCATTTCTGTCTAAAAAGCAAAGCTTACATGTTTTCAAACATCAAAATACATTTACTTTTAGTGTTTGTAGCATTTCAGCTTCAGTGCTGGAGTTAGTTTCAACAGGTCAGTTTGCAATATATAACATAGCATATCTTTTCACTAAAGAAGATTTTCAATAATGAAAAATACTAATTCTATTTCTAATGGTAAACTCGAGTTGGAAGTCCCACCATGGATCACAGGAATCAGAGCATTATCAAGATCATTTAGATAATGCTGAGGCAGAAGTTGACCTTCAGATCCTGCTTGAAACTCAACCTGGAAAGAAAAAGAATCTTGATTAAGACTACCCTAGAAAATGAGCAGTACTGTTTGAGCTCAGCAGATGGGTATAATGTAATTAAAATATTAAAATTATTTTTCAGTTTAAATGTGTTAATAAAATACCTGACATTTATAAAGAATGTTGTACAGAGTTTTTTAATCCATCTATTAAATAAATTATAATTGTTCTTCCCACAAATATCATAAAAATAAAATTGCTACTACTTCATACTTTACATTTCCTTTCAATGAACTCTTAAATACAAATGGCTGAGGCTTTGATAATTACCATTACTTAAATTTTAAAATTCTATGGTTTAGCAAAATCTACTTTAAAGTCTTTTGAAATTGGGACCAGCAGATGGCATAGTGGTTACATGGCTGGACTTCCACGTAGTCAACTGTGGTTCAAGCCCCAAACTTGGTGGCTTAAACTAACACCAGGCATGTGCCCAAAATCCTAAGAGGAGAATGGAGGATAAGGGATTGCAGAGTGGCCATACCCACTGGAGAGCTGATTTCTCGATTTTTGTCTGTCTGTTTCTCTGGCGAGCATACATACCCCAGAGCAAAAATAAAAAATAAATTTAAAAAAAAGTTTGAATTTGTTATTACAATAATATCTAATACTAGAATTGAATATTAATGGTGAAAATTACATTTGAATACACATTTAAGTAAAAAGGAAAACATTCACAGTGCTTATTCAAATAAGAATTATTAGGAGTTTCATTTTCTCAATAAGAACTACAAGTATAGCATATCCTGACTAGAATAAAAGCAAACCTTCACCATATGAATTCACCCACGTTTGGACAATGGTTTTTTTCCCCCCATAGGGTGTGTGTGTGCTAGAGAAACAGAAAATGAGAAAACGCCCCACATGGGGCTTGGTTATGTTGTAATCTCTCTTCCATTTCTTATTCCTCTGGGGATTTGGGGCTTACATGAACACATACTGGCTTGTTTCTCAAGTTATCATATATGGGACTTGCTTGAACTGTGTGGTCAACTATGTGGGATTCATCATAACATGACTGAGCCTAGACAATCTTTTAATGAATCTCCTTTGAAAATCTAGTATATTAGGTGTTGGAAACAGTTACAAAATAAATATACCTAACAGAGATGAACTGAAAGTTCAAAGAAAAAAAAAGTTTAAGATGGTCAGCACTCACTAAGAGAACTGCACGTTAAATAATACTGGGGCATTATCTTTTTCATCTACCAGATTGTCAAAGTTGAAAAAGTGATTATATATTGCTTGGCTAAAGAGGTAGGTTAAGAGTGTTCTCACAGATGGCCAGAGGAAATACAAATTGGCATAACCTCTATTTTAAGACAGTATAGTAATATACCTTAAGTACATACTTGGATCTTAGCAAATCTACTTCTAGGAATTTTTCTTATGGATATACTCACCTATACAACAGCAAAATACTGTAAACAACCTAAGTATTAGTCACCATAAAAGAATATGCATGGGGGCCAGCAGGTGGCTTGGTGGTTAAAGGTGCTGGACTCCCACATGGCCAACCAAGGTTCGAGTCCAGTATCCTTGTGGCTTGCTTTCTCACTAGCCCTCTCTCTTTTTGTCTCTCTCTGATCAAACTGGAATAATAATAATAATATTAAATAAAAAATAATTCTTAAAAAAATATGAAGAACTAGTTAAATTATGGTACATTTATATAATTAATGACTATCCATCTATACTAATATGTAATACCTTCGAATAACATCAAAGTGGGATGGTCAAGACCAGCAGATGGCATAATGGTTACGTTGGTGGACTCCCACATAGTCAACCGTGGTTTGAGTCCCAGACTTGGTGGCTTAAAACTCACACCAGTTTCATGTGTGTGCATGCCCAAAATCCCACGAGGAGAATGGAGTAGGGACTGTGGCATAGCCAACCCCCCTGGAGGGTGATTTCTTACTTTCCATCTCTGTCTCTCTCTCTGTTGCTCCAATAAGCACATGCACCCTATAGCAAAACGCTCAAAAAAAATTTTTTTTAATGGGGTCAGCAGGTGACATGGTGGTTAAAGGTGCTTGGATCCCACATGGCCAACTGCGGTTTGAGTCCTGTACCTGGTGGCTTGCTTTCTCACTCCCTCCTACCACCCTTTCTGATCAAATTAAAAAATAACAATAACGGGACCAGCAGTTGGCGTAATGGCTATGTTGCTGGACTCCCATGTAGTCGACCGTGATTAGAGTCCCAGACCCGGTGATTTAAACTCACACCGTGTGTGTGTGTGCTCGCATGCTCAAGATGCCAAGAGGAGAATGGAGGAGAAGGGACTGCGGCATGGCCTTCCCCCGTGGGGGCTGATTTCTCACTTTCTGTCTCTCTCTGTCTTTCTGGCAAACTCACGTGCTCTATAGCAAAAACCTTTCCAAAAAAATAACAACAAATGGAATTAAATAAATAATTCTTTAAAATAAAAGGTGGGATGGTAAAAAATAATTGTTTAAAAAAGGGAGAACAAAAAGGATACACACACTTATTTTCTTATACATACATAAAACAAAAAAGAGTAAGAAATTATTGGGGGGCCGGTAGGTGGCATGGTGGTTGAGGTGCTGGACTTCCACATGGCTGATTGCAGTTCAAGTCCTGGACCTGGTGGCTTGCTTTCTCACTGTCCCCCCCCACCCCACCCCCGTCTCTGTGTGGTTAAATCTGAATAATAACAAATGAAATTAAATAATAATTTTTTTGAGAGGTTTTTGCTATAGTGCGTGTGTGCTCACCAGAGAGACATAGACATAGAGCTAGAAAGCGAGAAATCACCCCCCAGAGGGGATGGCCACGCTGCAATCCCTTCTCCTCCATTCTCTTCTCGGGATCTTGGGCACGCATGCACACGTGCCCGGCGTGAGTTTAAGCCACCAGGTCCAGGAATCAAATGGCGGTCGGCTACATGGGAGTTCAGTGACACAGCCATTACGCTAACTGCTGGTCCCAAATTAAATAATTCTTTTAAAAAAAATTACTGGGTTGTTGGAAAAGTCTCAGCATATTTTTCTAAGTAAAACCTGCATCAGGATGGGACCAGCAAATGGCATAATGGTTACATCGTTGGACTCCCATGTAGTCAACCATGGTTTGAGTCCCAGACCCAACAGCTTAAAACTCACACCAGGAATACCCAAAATCCAGAGAGGAGAAAGGGATTACAGCAGTGTAGCTATCACCCCTGGGGAGTGATTTCTTGCTTTCTGTCTCTGTCTCTCCAGTGAGCACATGTGCCCTAGAGCAAAATCTCTCTTAAAAAAAAAAAAAAAAAGCTTCAGGACTTTTCCAACAACCACATAGTAACACTGACTGCTTGCCCAAGGACGGAGGACAAGCAAAGAGCATGTAGGAAAACTAAGAAATTGGGAATTGGGAGTAGAAAGGAGATCTTTCCGGGGCTGTTGCCTTATACAACTCTACTGGGAACTACTTATTAATACATTGTCATCTATAGTTAATGTTTCCCAGATCCACTAATTACCAAGAATACACTATGAATGCTGCTCTCTAGTAATGTTCAGCAAAGTAGTCCTCTTACATATACAATTATAAGCTTAACAATATTTTTCCATCATGAATATAGAAAGTCATCAGAATTAGTAAATTAAAAAATGTACCTATCATAACTACATGGAGCAAGGGTCAGCAAACTATGGCCTACAGACCAAATGTGGCCCTACTGGGTAAACAGTGTCACTGGAACACGGTCATACTCCTTCTACATAATGTGAATGGCTGCTTTGCTTTCACACAATAATGGCAGAACTGAGTAATTGCTAAGAAACCATTCAGCCTACAAGTCCTAAAATACTCATTGTCTGGTCTTTTACAAGGAAAGTTTGCTGAGCCCTATTATAGAGATTAATAGAAATTAATGTATATGAGATATATAGCAAATATTTGATGCCCAACAATTTTTTTTTTTTTTTGGAGAGATTTTCACTATAGGGCGCATGCGCTCGCCAGACAGACAGAGAGAGAGACATAGAGACAGAAAGCGAGAAATCACCCCCCAGGGGGGATGGTCACGCCGCAATCCCTTCTCCTCCATTCTCCTCTCGGGATCTTGGGCACGCACGCAAACGCGCCCGGCGTGAGTTTTAAGCCACCGGGTCCGGTATGCGAACTGCGGTCGACTACGTGAGAATCCAGTGACATAGCCATTACGCTAACTGCTGGTTCCCGTGCCCAACAAATTTTAATTCCCATCTTTCATCAC